ACTCTAAGAGAACAAGAATTTAAGGATTGAACAGGTTACCGGGAGGCTGGAAATTATCTTTCTCAGAGACCAACTTTAAACAGAGATCAGATTTTCATCTGTCTGAAATGTTTTAGGTATTGCACAGCCTGGAGGCAGATGGAAAGCATCAGTCAACATTTACTGAGCACCCACTGTGTATGCTGCTAGGGTTATTACTGCAACCACTAACATAAGAATGATTCTTATACTCTTCAAAGCACTTTCATGTACATTAAAGCAAAGTGCTCCTAGTTCACTTAATTGCTCACCTGCTATGGGTATATTAATGGTACTAATTTTTACCCTAGCCATTATTCTGGGGATATTTAAGCAAACAGCCAATATCTTTTAATTTAGCTTTCAATACCCATTTTTTACACCAAAAATTTATACTCTTAACTGACAAGCCATAGTCTCATTCCAAAGCATTTTGCTCTTCTTTTAAACGTGCTTTTGAATACTGACAATTATTTTAGGAAGTCTCATGAGGACAATTAATAACAAATGACACAAATGTTAACCTTCTGTTTTTCTAACTTAAACCATGCCATAGGACATAAGGCATATGTAGGGGTGGGAGCAATGGTATGGGAAACTGTCATGAAAATAACACTGAGAAGTAAGAAGTCAGGAGACTTGAGTGTGATTCTTGGCTGTGCCAGCAACTATCAATTTCACTCATACTTTCAGGTCCTAAGTTTCTTCCATTCTAAAATGGAATGTGTACTGAAGTGTAAGTAGACTGGACTGTATTATTCCTAAGATTTCTTCTAGTCCTAAGATGCCTCATTTATCAATGTGCTTCCACCAAGAAAGACTTTAAAGTTTGCAAATAGAGAAACCCAGGTGTACTACTTTTCTACTGAGTAGAAGAAATGCTAACAAGAGTTCTTCACATTCAAGGAGAGATTAAGTAAAAAAATATTACTTTGTCTCTTCCTTTGCATTGATTGACCAAAATCCAGTTTTGAGAATCTATGTCTACAGATAGATGTTGGCCCTTTCTACCCCTTACATAATTAAAAGTTCATTGGCATTACTAGAAGATAGAGAGCAGATAATATCAATATAGTCCTTGCAAATTTTTCAAACCTAACTGAACTTTATAGGACGTTTGAATTATTCAAAACCTACTCAAGTTTATCTTAATAGGTGCATCAATCAGTATGTACTAACCAACATCTGCAAATTTTCAGTGGCTTACATATTAAATGTTAATTTCTTGACATTGTCACAGTCCAGTGTGGATTGAAAGTGAGGCTGTACTTCATGAAATCATCCTGAGACTCAAGTTCCTTCTATTTTGTGGTTCCATGATTACTAGAGACTTGAAATTCTTTCCTTCTTGCTATATATTTTGAAAAAGAGAGAGAACCAAAGATCATATTGGGTAGACATCGCCTTAGTTCCCGTTGGCTAGAAACCAGTCACATAACCACATTGAACTGTAAGGGAGAGTGGGTAATGTCTAGTTACTCCCCTCAGAAGAAGAAACGCCACTGCTGGTCATCCAGCCAAGCTCAGTCACAATATGAGACAACAAAGACCTAGGAAAAAGTAAGATATAAATAATTGTTAACTTAAAAATGTATCCACAATATCTATAAATTTGGAAAGTAGGAGGCTTCATTTCTTTATAAGTAAAGCATGACAAGCTGCAAAGTGGTCATCCCATAGGCTGACAAACATGTGTCCATCCAAAATCAAAGACAGGCACTTGGAAGAAAGAGGGGTTGGGGCAAGAGCATTATGCTGAACGGGTTGGCTAAATATATATATTCAACTGGTTACAGAAGGAGCTATGAATATTCATAAAGATGATCCTGACACATGCATATTTGACAAAAATGCATGTAATATACAATCAATGCTCCCTTTAAGGTGGCGCTTGACATTTAAATGTATTATAATTAGATTCTATATGTCAAAATGTCTTTCAGAACACAAGGGCATGCAAGGGCACAACCTCTTTAATCTGACCAGAACCAGTCTAAGGTCGGTGGTCTTCTTACCTAGAGAAAGTTACTGAAATCAGGATCTTGTCTGATAAAAGATATAGCTGATAGAACAGGGGTAGGGAGTCAGTGTCTATGAGTTGGATGAGCTGTAATTGTTTTAACATTGCTCATCTCGAGGCCAGTCCTTGTTTGCCTCCTTGAGAAAAAGAAAAGCCTTGTGGCAGTTGGAATATAGGTTATTCTTTAAGCACAAGGCTGTGTGACTTAACCCTTGTCTGGCACGGCCTTTGATCCTGTTTATAATTTGGTATGTTATTGCCACAAAAAGACTGTTCTGTCTGACCCGCCATCCCAGTATGGCTACAAACTTAGTTTTTAAGGTTTTTCTGGGGTCGCTTTGGTCACAAAAGAGGATCGTTCAGTCAATGGGGGCTTAGAATTTTATTTTTAGTTTATACAATGAAATCTCTTGACATGAAAAACACTCATGACGATCTCACCCAAAACAAAGACATGTCATAGAATTCCTAGCTTCACTTCTCCTTATTTGAAAGGAACAAACAGTCGGGGCCAATGTCAATCTCAACATGTCAACTATCTCCTTTCCAATTATTTAGCGCCTTCAAAATATAGGATTGAACTTTCCTGTCCTTTGCAAGTCAATGTGTGGATCGGGGTTTCACAACTGCCATAATGTAGTTATCACTAAGATGATAAGTAAGAACACTTCTTGGTGTCTTCTTCAACATTTGATGAACAATATCCAAATGACTTTACTTCCAGGCTCTCCTTACCGGGATAAAATTACTATTGCTATTCTTCAACTCCAAGAAGAAGGGAAGCTGCATATGATGAAAGAGAAGTGGTGGCGTGGGAATGGCTGCCCCGAGGAAGACAACAAAGAAGCCAGTGCTCTGGGAGTGGAAAATATTGGGGGCATCTTCATTGTTCTGGCTGCCGGACTGGTCCTTTCTGTATTTGTAGCTATTGGAGAATTCATATACAAATCACGGAAGAATAATGATATTGAACAGGTGAGTCATCTTTTTCTAGGACTGGGTAGTTCATAGTTGGCATTATCTGTCTTAAGTTTGGGAGTTTTAAGGATGTTTGCTCTTTTTTTGTGACAGTCTATTGAATTAGATGCCCAGAAGAGCCATTTTTGAGTTAGAGCAAAGAGCTATTGAATCCCTGCCAGGTGCTGTGGGCACTGCAGGTCCATCATTTATTAATGACGAGGAAGGGCCTTATACGCTAAATCCAATTAGCACTATTTGGAATGACAATGCAGAAATTCCAAACTCAGTTAATTTTTGAACAGTGGTTTGCTCTTAAATAGAAACTCTAGCTGGAAAAAGTCAAAAATAAATACAAAATTGGAAAATATATAAAAAGATATTTAAAAGAAACGTTTCCAGCCCTTAAGTATAGATTCTGAGCACATGCGCTAATGCAAAACAATTTATATGAATAGGTAAAAGTTGTGTTATGAAATTGAACACTTACTTGTATCAAAGTAAGATTTATAAAAGGATTGTTCACCCCAATTTTTTTGCCAGGAATATAATAAACAATATAAAATGAAAATCCAATGTATATGAAACTTTATTTTTCTAAATTGTGTTTGGGATTATAGGATAATATTAGTAGTTGACATTTTTGCCTATTACTTTTGTTTTTGAAGAAAATCACACTATTTTTGAAAGAAATCAACTTACAGTCTCTGAAAAGCTGATTGTGATTTAAGATAATTCCTTCATAACCATACTAGAATAAACAAAATACAAAGCTTATGGCCATGATAGTGAATCAAGCTCCCCATTCAATGTTTAAATATTGTTAGAATTTTAAGACTATGACTATTAATAATAGAGCCAGTTTAATGCTCTGCTGTCATCTTGAAATTCTAAATAAGTTTTGAACAAAGTGTCCCACATTTTCTTTTTGCACTGGACCCTGCAAATTATGTGACTGCTTCTGATTAATAACCTGATAATAGATCCACTTTCTTTAAGTGGAAGCCCTTTTTAAGTGTCCAAAACTGGGGATGATTCATTATACCTTGGTTTCACATGAAAATATTCCCCAGAATTACAAGGTAACTGTGACAACAATGAACACCCCTTAAGCTCTGTTATAAGAAGCTGTTTTTTTAATTAAAAGGGAGAATGAACTGATCTGATTTAACTTTCAATTTGCTCTTGAGGTGTTTTATGCAACTAATTTGAAAAATAAAAACTTGTGTATATGATGCTTTAATGTGCTTTTCATAGTTGCCAGCTTCATGTGATTTAAATTTTCATTTAAACATTCATTCTTGCTTCTGATTTATTCATTTTCCTATATTTTTTTCTCATTTCTTTTGCATGCAAGGCTTTTTGTTTCTTTTATGGACTGCAATGTAAGCAAACCCATCCAACCAACTCCACTTCTGGAACCACTTTATCTACGGATTTAGAATGTGGCAAATTAATTCGAGAGGAGAGAGGGATTCGGAAACAGTCCTCAGTTCATACTGTGTAATCAGTTTAAAAAAAAAAAAAAAAAAAAGGTGTGCCCAGTAGAAATTGTTTCTGCTAATTGGTGTTGTTGATATTTGTATTTGCTAAGCATAAATAGCCACCATTCTCTATTCCTTTAGGATAGCAAAACTCATGTGTTCTAGACATTGAATTGAATGCACCAGAAAGAGACTTGCACTGTATGTTGAAGCAGGGGCATATTAGGGGTACACAGACTCCTAGAAATGTGTATTTACAGGGATTGTCTCTGTCCCAACTAGTCATCTTAGTTCTATCTTCATGCATTAGAAATAAGCAACTCTTTCTTCATGAAAAAGGAAATTCAGACTTTCAACAGCGCAAAGCATGAAAACAAAATGCAAATTGTGCGGACTTCTTTTCATCTCTGTGAACTTTGTTCCCTCCTCTTTCTTTCTCCCTGTCCCATACATTGTGTAGATCTGCATATTTTCAAACTACCTGAAACTCTTCTTACCTTTTCAACAGTACGTACATAACTCCATAACAAGGTTAATTTTTTAATTCAAATTCATTTCACAATGTAAAATGTATTATTTACCCAAAGACTCAAAAGTGTCTTAAGAGTTTAGAGATTCAAAAACTGCAATCCACAGAAAGAAAACTCAACTTGAAAGCTCCGGCGTCACAGAAGAGCACTACCTAAGTTGAACACCACTCTTGGAAACAGAGCACAGTCAAGAATAATTCCCAGGGAGAAATTCATTAACCTCAAACTCTTAAATAACATTGATTTGTAGAGTTTAACAGTCTTCTGTAGGTTCTGAGTCTTAAGGAACAGTGATATATTTCAAGCTATATAGTATTTCTTCAAAGATCCCAGCAAAGTCCTAAGCTATGTACTAATTCATAGCATCTTCTGTTTACCACTCACTTGCTCCCTCTGTTTGCATTGATGAGCATCTTTCCACAAGTAGTTACTTCACTTCCTTGCCGCTTACCCAAGATAGAGTGGTTGTTCTTGGAGCAATCTTTCCTGAACATCACCACTTTCACAGTGGTTTATTTGCATCCATCATCATTGTTAATTTATTCCATTATCAAAGTATTCTGGGGAAAAGAGAAAGTGGGAAAAAATAAAGGAAAGAGTGTCCATACGCATTAGTTACAGATCTCTGTAGATTTATTTTCCATCTGGATTCAAAGTGCTGTACATAATTCCCATGCTAACTCAACCTGGTGATGTGAAAAAAAAAAAACTGATTGCACATTTAATTTGTTGTGACAGAGGATATCTGATGATTTCTCTAGGCTCATTTTCCCTCCCCAGTGAATAGGAAAATTGAAGATGTGTTTCATCTTTTCTCAATATGGGATCAGTTGGTCTTTATTCTTTTCTTAATGGGATTACCTTCTGACACATCAAGCGATCCCCTAAAGCCCATTCCTTGAAGCAGAGATATGCCATCTGTGCAATCATATAGCATTTTACCGTCTCTTTGCTTAGCTTTAAATGGCTCCAAATTTTGGAAACCACAGGCCTCTCCAATCAATTGTGTACTTCTTTAGTAAAGCATATTAGGAAAGTTGACTCTTGTCCTGATTGTTTCTCAGCCTTGCTTCCTTCTTTAAAGAAACGTACTCAGAAGAAAATATCATAAATTATACTAACAATGTTTTATTGTTATTAAACTAGAAGCAACATACTATTTGTCCCAAGTCAGAGTTCACATTTTCGTAATCAATAGAATCAGATGTTGGGATGAATATGACATTATTCTTAGTTTCATATTTCATGGATTCAGTATCTAGAAATCACAAATTTTATAAGTTTACTTTTCCAAAGATGATTTAATAAATCAAAAATGCTACCAAAAGAGTTCAAATATGATTGATGAAGTATAGACAATCAGAATTAATAATAACTGACAAAATTTAACTTTCTGCAGAGACTATTATTTAAAAGTGGAATTCAGAGATTTGAAAAAAGAAATTATCTCTTTCAAAAATTAATATTTGTATACCACTTTAGACTGTAAAGTACCTAATTCTGATATTTCTATACTATTTTATAGTTTTCAAAATGTTTTCACATATAACATTACATTTGGTCTTTTCAACAATTTAAATTTAGCTTTACTATCAGTCATTGGCCTGCAGTTATAGATTTTAGAAGCAGAAGAAAATATTCTAAAATAGCCAAACTTAGATTCAAGTTCCAGTAGAGCCACACACTGAATAACTGTAGGCAAGTTACCAAATTTCTCAGTCTTGATTTCTTAAAATGTAACAGTGGGACAAAATTTCTAGAACATAAAGTTTTGTACGGGTGTTTTTCAAAATGGGTTAAGTTGGCAAATGTTTCTCAAATAAAATTTTTATAGTTAAGTAACCCATGGAGCATCACTCTAAGTGTTCCTTTACTACATGCTATCTCAGTGTGCTTCACAAGTTTTTGTTCTTTGAGAATTTTCAACAAAGCAAAAAGTATTCAGCACTTCTCAAGCCAATTAGATTGCAGATTTTTTTCCGCACAACATCTTGACAGACCAGGGTCCCACAGATCATCCTCAAGGGAACACAGGCATGATCATGTGAATCTCATCCCATAAGAGTGTACAAAACATCTTGCATTGTGCTTGACACATAGTAGCCACTCAATAAATAATTGCCTATACTTTGGAGTAAACTTCTAAGCCTCAAATTTCTTACTTGTAAAATGAGGGTAATATGGACTTTATACAATTACTATGACAATTAAATGAAATCATGGCATAGAAAATGAGCTAATTAATAATATATTATATTAATATATATCAGTTAAGAAGTGTTGGTACCTTTGGGAGAAACTATTGCTCTCTGGTCACATGGGCAGTAACTAAAATTTATCAGGCATCTTAAAATGCAATCTAGTTTTAAAAATTTGTTTTCTAATTTAGAAGCTTAAACTCTAAAAGCAGTTTTTTCTGGTACAAGCCTTATAAATTGATGGCAGAGGTCATTGCGCTCAGAAGAAAGACCCAAATTGGTAATATGTGAAGATCTATAGTGGAAGTTCTGGACCTCATCTCTAGAAATTCTAATTTAATTAGTCTAATGTTGTGGCATGACAATGGTAATTTTTTCAGATGCCCAGTTGATTTTAATGTGCTGGAAGAGGTGCAAACCAATAAGCTAAAGTATAATCTTATGTACGCAATTAGAACTCGATAGATGATTGCTGTTGATTGCTTGATTGATTGCAGAGGTAGAGCCACTAATTCTATGACATATATATAACACATGTTTGGCATTCAATCTGATAGACGCTTTCCACTGAGAATTCAGGAAAAAAATGCCCATCTTTAAGATGGAAATTTTATGATATTCAATTGATAATCTTTATGATTAGTTGTAAAACTATAGAGCTAGACCAACTCAGAATTATCAAGTAGACAGTTTATTGCTCTCTCTGTGTCTTTTCCTCCCTGGAGAAACCTTCATTCGTCTCAAGAACTTCGTTTCTTCACACTCTTCTCTCTCTCTTTTTTTGTTTTTTTTGTTTGTTTGTTTGTTTGTTTTTGAGATGGAGACTTTCTCTGTCGCCCAGGCTAGAGTGCCGTGGCACCATCTTGGCTCACTGCAACCTCTGCCTCCTGGGTTCAAGCAATTCTCCTGCCTCAGCCTCCCGAATAGCTGGGATTACATATGTGCACCACCATGCCAGGGTAATATTTGTATTTTTCGTAGAGACAGGGGTTTTGCCACATTGGCCAGGCTCGTCTCGAACTCCTGACCTCAAGCTATCTGCCCACCTCGGCGTCCTAAAGTGCTGGGTTTACAGGCATGAGCTTCTGTGCCCAGCCCACACTCTTCTCTTTCTCCTTTTATACTGGCTCTCAACCAGTTCTTGCCATCGTGTCAATGGATGTTAAGATCACAGTGACCCTACTAGGGACCGCTGCATTTCAAGTGAACTATGGAACAAAAGACTTAAATGTGGAAAAAAAAAAAAAGTTCAAGCTTTATGTTTACATCATTAGTTCTCATACTTTGGTGTAAATTAGAATGACTGAGGGAAATATTCTAACCATTTACATGCTCTACCCCCAGACATTTCTCCTCAGTAGGAAGAGTCCAGGAATCTGCATTTACAATGAAGCTTGAAAGTGAATGCCTAAAACTATTGTATACATTAGTTTTCATAAAAATTAGCTTGAACATAGCAGTTTTTTCCCAAATTAAGTCACATGCATGACTCTTTCTTAAAAGGATCTCCAATACAAGGGGTTTGGTTTTTTTAAAATAGCTTTTCTTACATATTCTTTTCCAACAATCCTAACTATAGTTGCATTATTTAAAAGTAGATAGTAAACATGAGTTTTTATTAAAACTAGCTTGAATATAGCAGTTTTACTAGTTTTATTTCAGATTAGCTGTGGAGCATGAGTTTTTGTTAAATAATAATAGGTTGTCTATGGATTATACTTTGGAAAATATTGTTTAAGCTTAGGAGAGAGCACGGAGGTATTAAAAGTTTGAACAAGTGGCCAGGAATGGTGGCTCACACTTGTAAGTTCAGGAGTTCAAGACCAGCCTGGGCAACATGGTGGGCCCTCATCTCTATAAATCAATCAATAAACAAAGATTGAACAAATGCATCAACAGCAATGAAACATAGTGTTGTCTAATTTGTTTCCTAATAAATTTGCCTCAAACCCAATGATGTAAGGGGAAAAAATTAAGCTTTATATTTTATTTTGGTTTAGACTAAAATTATAAATTAAATTATATTACAGAGTTTTTCCAGCAATATTGGAACTATTTAAGAAATACATGGTGGGTAGGAATCTTGCCATTGGGAAAATCAGGTGGATCGTATGATTATAAACCTATCCAAGAGAAATTATTTCCAAATACCTCACTGCATTTGACTAGCATTATATTATATTCTGTATAAGCCATCTGTAGCAATGCAGTACTATAATGAATCCCAATTAGTTTGCAAGCACATAACCCTTTCACCTCAAGGTCTATTTCCTAGTAAGCAGTTTAGAAAGTGTCTGAACAGCCTTTAACAACAAAAGGAAAGCAAAAGATTCTTACTTATTAGACTATTTTTCGAACATCTAACAGTGCCAAATGGCATTATTAATTAACTCTTGTAGATAATAAAAAAAAAAAATCTGCTTGATGCTGCAGTTTTAACTAGCCTTTAGGAACCATCTCATTATGCTTCTCACAGTTACAGAATTTTATGTCCATATGCACAAGCATATTAAAATCATTTTTGCTTTCAAAATTCTTCCTACAGAGGCTGATATTACAGAGAATGGGGTTCTACCTTAAATTTTCAAAGAATTCCTATTTGCAAAGATATGAGCATTCTTGTGATAGAAAGACAACATTACAAATGGAGCATGTGAATGTGAAACCCTGCAGAATTTGACCTTTGTTGTTGTCATCCCAAATACGGCTAATGGCCCAAAGTACACAACAATACATATTCATGTTACAATGCGTACATCCAGATAGACACAAAAATGAGTATGACCTGGATGATGGAAAGAAGTCACTGTATTCCCCCCAGCAACTAAAATATTTTAATTTAACTTGACCAGAATTGCTTTCTCCCCAGTTTGTCAACTGAACGGAGGATTTAGACCTAAAATATTCAAATATTCTGATTTTTCAGTCTCAAACATGAAAGCGGTCCTGATCAGTTTGTCTTTACCAGCCACAAAAACCAAGAAATTACTGTCCTTTGATAACCCACTCAACCTTGGTATTTCTCTTTCCTCAGTGTTCTTTGGCACCATTATCAGATGCTTCCAAGCATCTTCAGTACTATCTCTCCTACAGTCTGATCAACTTATTTAGCAAGTGATTTACGAAAGTCTCTTTAATTAGGTTATTTTTGTAATCGTGTGAAGAGGTTTCCTTTGCCTGGAAACTCAAATATTTATTAATTATTAGAAAAGCCAGGATGCAATTAACATCAATTTGGAAATAATGTTTCTAATGTACAAGTTGATGTTGTCTATGAACAAAACAAACTCTGAATGATGGGCATGACCCACTAAACAGGTGACTTTGGAATTACATGCCAAGAACTCAGGTCTCCACACTGGTGCTAAAGAGCCATGTGTCTTTGGGCAAGTCATTTTACTTCCCTCAACCTCAGTTTCTTCATCTGTGGAATGAGGAGGTTGTATTTGAAGTTCTCTTTCAACCGCAATATTATTTTAATCTCGCAGAAAAATGGGAAGGAAATAAAACCACAGAAGCAGTAATGAAAAGAGATTTTTGTTTCTATATTTCTTCATGTGGTTGTGTGTCTCTCTTGGATACATGAAATTCTTATTTCTGTCAGAATGACTGTGCCCTGCCAGTACTTCAAGGCAGAAAGGCCTGTCTTGGATGTAGAGAAAATGGCCCCACTAGCCATCACGACATCAAGAAGCAAGAAGGTTCCCATCCAATGAATCATAAGCAAATCATTACAGACAGAGTGAAGTTTACAGAAGTAGAATAGTTCTTGACCTTGATAAGCCTACAGACCAGGTAAAACAAAACAAAAAGGAGATAGGTACCTAGGAAGCTATTTGAAGCTGTAGAAATGGACACACATTCACAAATCACAAAAGAGGATGATAGGTGGGACGGGATCACATAGGAAGCCTCTCTCTATTCTGCAAGCGTAACTTAGTATTTCTTCTAAAAACAGGCAAGGAGAAATAAAGAAAGAGGACAGCATGCATTTATGTTCTATTGGTTTTATCCCTACCCTTCTTTCTATCATCAAGTATGGGAATTTCATATGAATTGCTCCCAAACTAAAATGGGTCAAACTTTTAGCTTTTGAGAGGTTAAATAGTCCTTGCAGATTTGTGGCACAGAGGAAAGTCTTGAAAACCATAGTTTTTAATTGCAAGATCCAGATGTTTCATTGAATATGAAAGTTGTTGTAATTCAAAAAATTTATCTGTAATTGGCGAGAGCCAAAACCCAAAAGGCTAACATTGGAGAAATTGACATGATGATGTTTTAACACCTTACCTTCCTACCTTGAACAGATTCTGACCACTAGGAAAGAAAGAATTGGAGGAAAGTCACAAAGATTAGATACTACCTTAATCTATGAGAGGAGGCTATTCCTCAGCCAATGACCATCTCTGAACCAAGTTCACACTTGGGAGGATGCAGGAGAATAGAAACCACAGAAAACTTAAAAGGGAATCCTGGACAGAAAATGCCATTTTTTCCTTCACAGGGTGAAGGCCCAGGAGGTGGTAAGACTTGCAGAGATATTTTATATCCAACAGTCTCCTGAAAGGCAGAATAACAACATGTGGGTAGTGAAGCTATGGAATGCTTCATAGAATCTTTCTCAATCTCAGAGAATGCCAGGGAAAACAGCCAAAAATTCATGGCTCTTCTTGCCCAAGAGGCATGTAGAAGGGCTGAGAGAACCAGTGCACTGGAAGACTTGGTGTTAGAGCAGAAAAGACAGAGTGTGTGGATGTGACACGGAGACCATGGTCATCTCAGAGGGCACAGCAGAGACAGTGATCAGTGTTCATGACCTAGTAGAATGTCACATCCTCATGGAAGCCAAAAGGACAGAGGGTGGCCTTGGACTAGCTGATCCTGGGCCCTCTAGACACCTCTTTTTATCCCAGATGACCCTAGGAAAAGAGAAAAGAGAGAAGGGAGGTGGGGAGAGGCTTGCATTAACAGAGACATTAACCAAAAGAAAGCATTTTAAACCAAAAGTGAATTGTCTTGAGTTGATAAGACCCACTA